GCTCAGCATACCGAACCACTAGTTGCCAAACGGTACCCGTATCCAGAGACCGGGATTGTACTAGGCGATATGCTTTGATGCCACTGTTGGACGAGCCATTTCGAAGCGCACTGAGTCCCGTGAAGCCATTCGAGCTTACATGAAGAGATTCGGGTCCAAAGTCCGGGCTGGGACCATCCGTGCCTCTTTTCGCGATACCAGTAAGACACTGCCATGCGTCAGAGGGGTTCCGGGGTACGGAGCCTATAGAAGCCGTGTCTTCATCATCCACGGACAATGAAGGTGCGGTAGGGGGATCTGGGGGGACAAATTGAACCGGGCCGGGGTACGGGCCCGAAGCCGTAGTCTGACGGTTGTCCGAGTTTGAGGGGCTTGCCGGTTCTATTATGGAGTCTCTTCGGCCCGATGTTATGCTGTCTGGGGTGAAATTCTGCATTTTGTTTTTGCGAATGCGCCGTCCTCCTCGATTAGAGCTACCTAGGACACATTCACGATTATCTCGGATGCAGCGCTGGCATGGTGGCACTCCAGGACTACCACTGCTGTCTCTGTATGCGCAGTTTGGTTAGTTATCCATGTATGAGAGAGCCAGCATATGTGAAGACCATGGAATGAGAAGAAGTGAATGTAGGCAAAAGAAACCACGATAGCTGGCAACAGCCTAGGGGCATCATGTTCGTCAGAGAATTGACTTACAGATCACACTTTGATTTACGCTGTCTGCAATGCAAGCAAGCTCTTGAGACGCGTTTCATGAGATGGTCTGAACGAGCCTTGGCTCTCGAGCCTGGAGTACCCGCGACCGGGGAAGATCGTTCGTCTTGCTCCATGGCGACTATTCTCTAGAGTGCGAAGGTCGCTCCGTAGGTTCACTTCTCCCGAATGAGATTCTAAAGCTGCATCTTCATCCTAGCAAGGTCTCGCAAACTTGCTTTTAAGCCACGTTCACACTTTGACTCCGAGATACCACGCACGTACGGTGTCGATACCATGCATGTAATGTGTCAAGGTCTGAGAGATAACCGGCCGAAGAAAGGCGAAAGAGATGATCACGCTTGCTGACTGTAGAAAGAGAGAAAGAGAAGAAAGTGTTGGTGTCAGACACTGGGCGAGGAAGGTTTGGTGGACATTCAGCGGCTTCGGCGTGCTACCAGCATATTATCTGTCGTTCGTTTGGGATCGGATTCGAGCTTCATCCAGGCGCTCGTGCTTTCCCCACACGAGAGGTGAATATAAGTTCAATCTTACCACTAGCTGAGCCAAGTCGCATGCACCTAACTCAAAATGCAGTCATCAACTTATACTCGGCATGAAGTTGCTAGGCTAATCACATATGCTGGATTTTAACCAACTCGTGTATGAATTCAGAGGTAAACAGGAGGCGGCAGAGAAAAGGAACTTGGGAAGAGAAGACGGCAACAGCGGTATTACCCGATCCGTACACAGTACGGTATTCTATCCGGACAGTGACTTGAACAGCAACAAAACTCAAAATGTTTAGATGTTGTTTAATATAATGAATTATCGCAACTAACTAGAACTTATATAGCCTTGACAGTCCCTTGTATTCCTAGGAGCCAACATTGACCGGCTGGCATTTCGCGCAGCAAGTACCAAGGGGCCGTCTCCGGCGTATATAGTTACCACGACGAGTGACCTTTGAGTGTACAGTAAGAGTCTGGTCTCATAGTAAAACTCAGGCATACACTCACAGTGTACCGCGGACCGAGCCACACAGAACAGCAATAAACAGCTTCGAGGTCAGCACCAATTATGGATAATTGCCCCGGTTCAGGCCGGGGATAGATGCCCTTGATGATAATTGCATGTACCCAGCATGTATTGACATCAATACACGAAACGATCGGGCAACCCCCGAAGGAAGGTTCAATAGCCGTATGCGGGGGAACCGGGCTTTGAACCTACCTAATCGGATGCTGCCCCCGCATGGGAAGACATACAAGAATGATGATGGGTTTCCTTTATGGCTAGAGAAGAACAAACATTATTGTTGCACATATCGGCTGTCTTTTGGGAGTGTTGATAGCAGGGCAGGCTTCTGACAATGGACTACTCTATCGTTACTGTGCTGCACTGTCTTCATGCCATCGTTAAAGGACCGCAAGCTGTTGAAGGTAACCTGCAAAGACCTCACTGCAGGGGCGACTGCTCCTTTGCACAGCACCTCACCAAACAACCAAGGAAGCATTAATCAATAGGCCAGTCAGTCAATTGAGCTGCAAAAAGTTACCGTATGCAACTCAGAGCTGCGAGACATTTTTTCAAGTAAGCGAAGCGCGATGTCAGCCAATCATGCAAATTCCCTATCAGATGCAACAGGTCACGTCCATCGATATATCTGACGTTCGAATCCAAGCTGGCCAACAATGAGCTCAACAAAGATAATCTACATGCATCTGCCTGTCGTCCTAGGGCTTTTGAGGCAGAGCTAGGACGTGACGTTTCAGATAAAGTCTGGCAGTGGGCAGATATGCCGAGTTGAAAAGACTCTGGTGAGAGCCTGCCGGTACGAGGCATCTTTCAGTCAAGCTCCTTATCTCATGCAATCCGATGAAAGGAAGTTCATCGTGCCTTGACAGCAATAATCCCGGGATGCTAACATGTCAGGTCATATCTACCTGAGCTCATCATACCACACTTGACAGCCGCGCAGGATTATCAAGTGCGTCTCAGATCCGTGCGTTAGTTTCTCGTTAGTCTTCCTTTTCAAGCGCTGGAAGCATGGCATAAAAGCTAATGAGCTACTGCCTGTCACTGAGGTGTCGAACTCCCATGTGGCTTCAGGCTTGAGCCGAAAGGACTTGTGAATTCGGTGGGCACTTCCAGTGGGACACGAACCTCAGAACCTGAGCCAAGGGTAAACGCATATCCACTTTTTGTTTTTGTTTTTTTTTTTTTCTTTCGTTCCGATGGGGGTTTTTTTTTAGCAGGGTTCCAAGAAATATCTACGAGTAGTCAAGGAAGAAGAACCGAATGAAGGAAGAGTATTCCGAGATAGCCAGGAAACCGAAGTCTCCGAGCAAATAATAGAATCGGATTAGAATCAAAATAATTGAAAATAGATTAAACAGGGCGGGCCTAGTCTCTGACCCGTGACCGCCATGTGTCGCCGACTCTCCGCCCAATTTCCCTGAATCTCTCCCGTAGTTAGTCAGTCTACCGGTAAGTTAGATCTCCTTCCCTCCACCTACTTTCAATCCAGCAATCATCTTCCTCTCGAAAGAAACTTGACCACCACCGCCACCACCACCATGTCAAACACCAAGCTTTGTTTCATCCCAAGAGCTTCGCTAACACACCCGACCCATGAGGAACACCAACCCTTCTCTTAGTCAGTGGCTGAATTCACCTGCCAGTGGGAATCGCGGTGGGCCACCAAACATGGCTCTGGCCAATATGGAGCAAGCGTTTCAGCTTGAACTGCAGCACTTGAAACATGCAAAGACATCGCGATAAACCAATACGATTCTCTCAGTCATGAAGATTCAACCTCAAGGTGCAAGTCTTTGGACCTGTGAAAACTGTTGAACTGCAGTTCCGGTCAGGGGCTGGCTGTTCAGTGGCCAGCGATGCGCCTCGGTCGGACAACCCCTGCTGCAAGCCTGCAGCTTGCCCCCGTCTCCGCGGCTGCTGCTTGGAGCCAAGAGCGCTAAACACCCGGCCAAGCCTGGAGACCTGTCCATCTCTATCAGAAACAACGATGCCATCGTCGGGCCCTCAATGCGCGCCAGAGCTCTTTCTACCGGTTCGAGGCCGAGCGCAGACGTTTGTCTTGGCGCCCAAGATGAACCCCTCTCAGGAGGACCACGCCACTGTTACCTGGTAATGTGTTTGTGGCCCTGGCCATTGGTCTTCTTTCGGTATGTAGTTTGATGGCAGACCCGGTCCGCTGCCTGATGTGGTACTTTTCTTTCGCTTAAAGGGTATCTATCTGCGCCGTGGATCTCCCAATGTAGAAGTGATTTTATTTCTCCATCTCCTCTTACCTTTCGTGTGTTCTTCGAACCCTCTTCTTCACTCTTTTCCATTCTTCCCATTGCCATTCTTACATTCTTCTTCAATCGTTTCCCCTCTAGCCAGCTGGCTGGTCGTTCTTCTTTCACCGAGCGGCTCATCCATTCATTCATTGTTCATTGTTTCAAACAATCGACTATTGTGCCTGAAGTTGAAACGGACAAGCTTTCCCCTGCCTTTCTTGGAGTTTGCCGATCATTGCCTGCAGTCGGACGTCATTTATCATGAAATAGGCGGAATTGGTCCTCTTCACAACAATAGACACTCTCGTTGCTTTGTGTTACTTTCCCTTCTCTTGCCGGCAGCTTTCGCTTCTTCTAGCCGCTGCACTATTGACGCTGCGCGTCTTTGATCCCCTTGCTGGAATACTTCTCTTATATTATGCACGTAGGCAACCTAAGGTGAGTATATCTGAAGGCTGGCTCGCCCCTCATGACGCTGGTCATAACTCTAAGACTAAATCTTGGTAGAACCCAAACGTCAATTTCGCCATCCTGTCTGGTGTCTTCAACATTCTTCGGCTCCGCTAAAGGACATCACCCGTGACAACATCTTGGTCATTTGCAGACCCCTTGAGGCAAACGTCATCATCAGAATCGCCCGATAAAACGACCTGCCAGACGGTTCTGAGTCAAGTTCAGCTGCGGAGATTCAAACATCACCTTCGTGTGTCAAACCAGCCTTACAGCTATCCGCTACTTGCAATACTGTCGCTCTCGCTGGAGTTCTGTTTACTGGAGATCCCCCTGGAACTCCCTTGCTCTTCCCCACATTCTTTCCGTTCCCCTGCCATTAGGTTCTCTGCGTCTACGCAGTCATTGGCCTGTCTCAGGCGGTTCGAGCGCTATTATTAGGAAGTTCGCTGGAGTCACCACCCCACACGACCTCGTTGCTGCTTGCCTTCCATCGTCTCCTGTCGCCGTACTAGTCCTTCACAACGTGCTGCGCAGGCTATCACAACTTCAATGGATAGTGTACGGCAGCACATAGCCTCTCGGGGCTATGGCGTCAATGCCACTTACATCTACGAATATTCAAGAGGCTTGAGCGGAGTGGACGTGCCTCGAGATCATCTGTTTACCCAGATCATCTACGCGTCTTTGACAATTCTGGCGTTCGTCGTGTTCTGCGGACGAATTGCACAGATTAGCCATGCCTATCTTCGCCATATCACCTCTCTGACGGCAAGCAAACGAGAACAGACTTTCTGGAGTGTTGAGGTATCACCTGCCTGGACAAATTTTAAGAAGCATATGTTGTATGCACCCCTGGGAAGGAAGAGACACAACCGGGAACTTCAGCTTTCGTCGGCCATCGGCGTGGGCACAGTGCCTTCCAGATTCCAAACCATCTTCGTTGGTTTATACCTCGTTAGCCAGATTGCCTATTGTGTTATTCTCGACTACAGGGTGAACGTTAAGGCGGCCCTTGTCGCCGAGCTCCGTGGTCGTTCCGGGACGCTGGCCGTTCTCAACATGGTCCCTCTCTTCCTCCTGGCTGCCCGCAACAACCCACTCATTCCCCTGTTGCACATTAGCTTCGATACCTATAATCTGCTTCACCGTTGGCTTGGCCGGATTGTTGTTATTGAGAGCGTTGTGCACACGGCCGCGTGGGCGGTCAATGCATGTGACGAAGTCAGCTTCGCTGACATGCTTGCACGCCTCCGCGACACTCCGTTCTTCACCTGGGGATTAGTCGGGACTGTCGCAATGGTGGTTCTCGGACTCCATTCCCCGTCTCCAATCCGGCACGCCTTTTACGAGACCTTCTTGCATATCCACCAACTCTGTGCTCTGTTTGCATACATTGGTGTCATCATGCACCTGGATCTTGACAATCTACCCCAGAAGCCTTGGCTCATTGCCGTTGGCTTGATGTGGCTGTTGGAGCGGCTGGCTCGCCTCGGCCGGATAGCATACCTGAACATCTCTCCCAGCAAAGGTTCTACAACTCTGACCGTCGAAGCCCTCCCCGGCGAAGCCTGCAGAGTGACTTTTCAACTTCCCAAGCGCGTTCACGTTGGTGCAGGTAGCCATGTGTATGCCTACATTCCCAGCGTTGCTCTCTGGATGTCGCATCCTTTCTCTGTCGCTTGGGTTGAGCCCAGCGAGTCTGTGACGGCCCCAGCCGTCACCGGAACAGCCTCCGACCTCGAGAAGCAGCCTATCTCTGATCTGGACAAGTACATGAAGGCCCATCAGCAACCGACGTCGGTGTCTCTCATCATGGGTGCTCGCCAAGGCATGACCCGTAAACTGTACAACAAAGCCCTCGCAGCACCCAGTCAAACGCTCCACCTGTCGGGCTTCATCGAGGGGCCGTATGCCTCCCACGCTGTCAACTTGGCCAGCTACGGCACTGCGGTCCTCTTCTCGGCCGGCGCCGGCATCACCCATCACATGCTCTCCGTGCGTGATCTCATCATCCGCTCCACCGAAGGCCGTGCTGCGACTCAGAAGATCTACCTTGTCTGGTCCGTTCGCAGCACAGAGCACCTCGCCTGGGTGCGAGAATGGATGGATCAGATCCTTCGGTTGCCGGGCCGCCGGGAGATCCTGACGATCAAGCTCTTCGTCTCGAAGCCCAAATCCTCTCGGGAGATCGTCTCGCCCAGTGCCACCGTGCAGATGTTCCCTGGACGGTGCAAAGCCGACGTCGTCCTCGACGAAGTCATTCCTGAGCGCGTTGGCGCCACCGTTGTCTCCGTCTGTGGTCCAGGTGCTTTCGCCGATGAAGTCCGTGCAGCTGCCCGATCTCGTATCGGAAAGGGTGCTGTGGTCGATTTTGTCGAGGAAGCCTTCACGTGGTAGACAAGCACCTTTTCCCAACCTATCTCCTCCCCCAAAAAATACGTATCAACTTCCTTTCTTGTTGTGAATGCTATTGTGATTAGAGCCCTAGCCCTTTTGCCTTTATCTTCTCATTTTCTTGTCTCTCTACGTTCTTTGTCCCCTCTTCATGGCTCGTATCACTCACCCTTAATATTCTTGTCAAAACTTCTTCCATCACTTCTTTTTCTCTTCTCTTCCATTCTTTCCCTCATTCTCTTACCCTTCTTTTTTCTTCTTTGAGATATATATACAAGTCATTGTTCATTACAAGCATGATCATCATCGTGTCACCATTATCAGCAGCAGCAGCAGCCGCAGCCGCAGAAACGATCACCAAGCGCAAGCCATCACTTCTTGATTGCATTTGTATCTTTTTGTTATTTCAGCCCGCCTGATTCCGTGCTTAACCCCTGCACTGTACCCACAGAGATGAATAACGACACCACCACGCCCAGCCGCCCAAGTGCTATTAATAGTGCAAACCCTGATCCATCTACTTCTGTATCACGAGTTTTTCTCCGTCCGGAGTACGGCCTACGGACAGCTAGCTCTCGGAACCCTAAATCAACCTAAATCTAAACTGGAATCCGAATTAAGCACCCGACTTCTCCGAAGATGACCCATCGCATTACCTAAACCATCCTCTAATTAGTTAGATTAAACGTCCAGTGGGACCTTAATCTATTCTGAATCCTCCGTACTAGCGAGTAGACTAGGACCCTAGGAGAAAAGAAATTTGACACACAGACTCTTGGCTTTACATCTACTACTCGAATACAGAATACAGAATCCTCTTCTTCGGAGCGGAACCCGAACGAAGTCTAAGCCTACCTCCGTAGCTAGTTCGGGAACCCCCCCCCCTTTTTTTTTTTTCTCTTTCTTTCATGTGAGATTATCGTTCTTCCTCCTAGGTCGATATTGCGATGTTCTTCTTTTGCCTTCATCATCATCACCTGATGAATGCATTGTACTGTACCCAAGACACCTCCCCTCCATCCATCGCACCCAGTATAATCCATCCCATAATGTAAACCCCGCCCTACACCACCACCTTTACAAAAGAAACGGTAAGCTAGCACTCACACTCACACTACCTACTCATAGGTACAGTACATAATGCTACTGCTATTTCCATGGCACAAACCCCCCTGGCCCATCTCTGCAGCCATCCACTGTGATCCAGATCCGGAAATCCAGATCCGGAAATTCAAACCAACCACGAGGGGCTTGGAATGACGAAACAAGGTTTTCCATGCTGTTGAGGATGTGGATGTGGATGTGGACAACAAGTACCAAGTGATGAGATCCAACTACGTGAAGAAAGCCTGAGCGCGGCTGTGCTGGTGAGCAAGCAGCAAGCAGCCCTGGCCGGCGAGGGCTGCAGGACCGAAGGTTGACGTTGGCACAACCCCCTTTTTTGGGGTCGGCTTTGGCAGGACGGGGATAAAGGTATCTTTGAGGAACTTACTACCTACGGAGTAATAGACATGGCGATTGTCGCCCTCGGGTACTGGTGGCGGTCTACCCGGCCACTGCCCTATGGTTGACTGGGCGGAAACCTGAAAGTGCGTGAGGCTTCTGCTTGAGAAGGTCCTGAAGGGTATAAGGTCTGAGTTGATATGTCCTGTTCTATGTGGTTTTCTGGCTAGTCTTGGCGACGGGTCTGAAAGTTGGTAATGTACAGATATGTATCAGCATAGAACGAGTAAGTGTGGGTAAGTGGAGTTATGAACGATAGAAAGCAGTTGGGGAAAAAAAGGACAGGAGGCAGTGAGGAAAAAAGTTCCACGGGACCAAATCAGAAAAACCAAGTCTGCCCGGGAGGACGAAAGAGGGGCCAAGAATTCTAAAATATACGCTTGGAGGGCATATATGAGTAAGGAGCGACGAAGGGCCAGGGAGAAGAGAAGAGGAATCTAGAATATGTGCGTCTAAAAACAATCCCCAAGCATTTCCCGATTATGTCCAACAACGATAATCCGAAACACAAACATATGTATACGTGAACAAATCATACAAAAGCTGGGCAGGGGAAAATCATTTATACATGTCAAGTCCTCTCAAGAAGAAGCCTTGGTCTTCTTGGTCTTCGGGACACGAGCGAGCCAGTAGATGCCCACCGCGGCGAAGATGTTGAACACGATGTACACCCACATAAGACCGAAATTGCGCCACGCGTCGGAGAAGTGGCTGCTGACTGCCGCCAAGAAGGTGTCGGTGTCGCTGATGGTGCAGAAGGCGCAGTTGCTGGTGGCATCCTCGTTCTGAAGATAGCCGCCCGCGGACGCAATATAGCTCTGCATGTAATCAATGCAGGTGCTGTTGGCAGGGGGGTCGAAGTGGAGGTACTCTGAGGAGTCACAGATAGCCGTGGTGCCTGATACACCGGTCGACAACATGGCAGACACCAGATATGTAAACGGAGAAACCCGGTACATGAAGATCCAGAAGCCAGGGAGTTGCTGAGGAGTTGCCAGGACACCACAGAAGACCAGGCACAAGGAGAAGAGCAGGTTAGCAAGATTACCACCAGTCTCAGCAAGCTCGATACCTGCGATGATCATGTGCGCGAAGGTCGAGGTGAAAAGAAGGAAGGACAGAATAAGCAGCCACATCAACGCTCCACGCTCATGAACAGCATCGGTCGGTTCCGCGTTCCGGTAGAGCCCAATGGGATAGTACCAGCAGACATAGATGATCACACTCATGAGTGCATTCCACGGCAGCTCAACAATAATGTTAGCAGCCATGAAGGCCTTCCATGAGTAGCTCTTAGAAGGTCTCTCGCGAGCCTCGTATAGGGAGCGCTGGGTACAGAAGTTGGGAAGAATCTGTTGCACCAAGTTTCCGAAAATCGTCATCAACATGAAGATAGAGAACATCTGATTCTGCAGTCCCTGTGAGGTGTTCTTGGCATGGAAGAATGAAAATCCAATGTACAAGGCAGTCAGGGCGCAAAGGCAAATCTTCGAGTAGATGTAGACGGGTGTACGCCAATACTGCGAGAACACGCGGAGCAAGCACTCCCATAGCTGGACAGTGAACGGTGCAGCGAATTCGTTGTAGCTACCGGGATCCGCCTGGTTTGTGTCGAGCGGCTTCTGCGAGAGAGTAGACTTGAGTTCGGACAAGTGGTCAAGCACGGCTTTGTGTTCAGGGCTGTCACGCCACACCGCGGGCCAGTCGATATCACTGTGAGATCCAGGAGCAGCACCAATGACTTCGAGCATCCATTCGGCCGGGTTAGCGTCAGCAGGTAGCTTAGGGGCACCGTTCCGTTCGAAATAGCTAGCAAGAGTGGAAGACTTGTCGCCAATATCTCCGAAATAGACTGTCTTACCGCCTCTAGCAAGGAACAAGAGACGGTCGAAACGTTGGAACAGCATAGCCGAAGGTTGGTGGATAGTACATAGAATAGCTTGGCCGTGCTGCGTCAAGGTGTCAATGAGATCAAGGATGGACCAGGACGTTTGACTATCAAGACCAGAAGTAGGCTCGTCCAAAAACAAAAGCAACTGAGGCTTAGCCGCCAATTCAACTCCAATGGTGAGGCGCTTGCGCTGTTCAACGTTGAGACCTACTCCATATTAGAAACCGATGCACAAGCAAGGAAATACTCAGAAGCGACTCACCTTCACCGGGAACACCGACAACGGCGTCGGCGTATTCTTCCATGTCAAGCAACTTGATAACTTCTTCAACATAGTCGAGCTTCTCTTGGCGACTGACGTGGGCAGGTTGCCGAAGGATGGCGCTGAACCGAAGAGCTTCACGGACAGTGGTAGTGTGAAGATGGAGATCCTGCTGCTGCACATAGCCGGTTTTGCGCTGGAAACTTTGATCACGAGGACGCCCATCAACCAACATTTCACCGGTGACCACACCCATGGTGACACGAGTAGCAAGCACATCCAGGAGAGTTGTTTTACCCGCACCAGAAACACCCTAATGAACGTTAGCACAGTTCATATCTGGCGAGAACGAAGTCCAATTAACATACCATGAGAGCAGTACAGGTTCCAGGCTTGACCCATCCATCGACGTGGTCAAGAATGCGGCGGGGTTCACCCTTGATTTTGATGTCGTAGCACACATCCTGCCATTGGAAGATAGCGGTCTGTCTCTGAATGGCGGCACTCTGTTGTTGACCACTGGACTGCTCAGCCTTCTCAGGGGAGGCGAATTGGCGGCTTGATTCAACGTCCTTGGCAGCAGGGGAAGCATGACCGCGGCGGAAGAGCAGAACCTCACCCTTGGACTTGGCTTCAGAAATGTACTCGGTAGCGAGCAGATATGTGCCCATGAGGAAGATCATGAAAGCGAACATGATTCCCAGGTTGCGCCATTTGTGGCTGTTGTAGTAGTCGAAGCTCAAAGCAAGGTACCTATCACCGTCGACGTACTTTTGTCCGGATACCGCCCCAACTGTAGAGCAGATCTTGTTCGAAAGAGGGAGGGAATCATAGCCATTGCCGGAGGGAACGTAACCATCCTCAGAACACGGGAATTGGCGATTGTGGAATTCGTTCACCATCAGACTCTCGAAGCCGTAAGCGATGGGGTTGATATAGTTCATCCATCTCGACCACCCCAACATGTAAGTGGTGGGAATAGTGAAACCGGTGTAGATGACCAGACCCAAGATGAGAATTGCGGCCGGGACAAGAGCTTGGTTTCAAAATCAGCCTCTGCGCGACGGAAGTGGGTAGAACGAAAGACAAACCTTGAGAAAGTGTCCGGGAAGAAGCAGCGATGGTACGGAAGAGCATGGACATGGTCAGGGTCGTGACGAAGGAGAACAGCAGGAAGACAAAGAAGGCGCCCGGCGTCCGACGAAGATTAGTCATGAAATATAGCGTAAGGTTGAAGATAATCGCGTTTCCGATCTTATAAGGCATATCTGTGAGCATAGACGCAATGGCTTCGGCGAACGGATGATACATGGCGTAACGAGACTGCTTTTCGACAATTGGGCGTTG